TCTAAAACATGGTGGAGGTAACATGATGGTTTGGGGATCACTTTCTTATAATGGAGTTGGTCCATTGGTCACTGGTACTATGGACGCTATAATGTATCGAGATATATTGACACAGCATATGCTGCCATATGCAACTCGAAACATGCCACGTGATTGGATTTTCCAACAAGATAACGATCCCAAACATTCATCAAAACTAATAAAAAAATGTTTCATCATGAAAAAAATGCGAGTTCTTGACTGACCCTCGCAATCGGCGGACTTGAATCCTATTGAGCATTTGTGGCAAGAACTCAAAATACATACAGGAAATAAGAAACACTCCAATAAAGCTGAATTGTAGCAAGATTTGCAAACTCAATGACAAAATTTACCTCAAGATCGCATTTCTAATTTAATAGCATCAATGCCTCGCCTTTGTGCTGCAGTGATTGCTTCTAAAGGCATGGCAACAAAGTATTAAGTTTAAAAAATCGTTGATAACATTTTCTGTTATTATTTTTCAATAACATATTTTCCTTATGCATAAGAAAACTTTTTGACGCAATACTTTTGCACTGTTTGTAATAAGACATTGTATAAAAATAAAGTATTAGGTAAATCGGAAAGTTCCGTCCGTTTACAACAAGTAGCTATAGCTAGAGCTGTCGTTAACCTGTAATGTCTAAACGAAGCTTAATAGTTTGTTTTGACATCTGTCAATAACATTCAGTACATAAAAGTATACGTTTGTATCAATAACATTGTTTTTTACTGCATCGAAAATGTCGAAATTTGTGCCAAATAAGCGTCATTTGCGCGAAGTGTTAATTTTTTGCTTCAATTGGAAGAAAACTGCAGCTGGAGCTCATCGAATGCTTATAGAAGTTTATGGTGATAATGCTCCTTCCGATAAAACATGCAGAGAATAGTTTCGACGCTTTAAAATTGGTGATTTTGATGTAGAGGACAAAGATCGTTTTGGACAGGCAAGAGTATTCAAAGACGAAGAATTGCAGGCATTGGTGGACGAAGACTCATGTCAAACGCAAAAGCAACTTGCAGAAACATTAAATTGTGCTCAATCTGTCATTTCCGATCGTTTGAGAGCCTTAGGAAAGGTTTACAAGGAAGGAAAATGGGTCCCATATGAACTGAAGCCAAGAGACATTGAAAGGCGAAAAACCACCTACGAAATTCTGCTCGCTAGGCAACAAAGAAAGGGGTTTTCACATCGTATCACCACTGGGGATGAAAAATGGATTTATGTTGACAATCCCAAACGTCGAAAAACTATTTGCGATCCTGGCCAACCCTCAACATCGACGCCAAAGCGGAATATCCACAGAAAGAAGGCAATGCTCTGTATTTGGTGGTATCAGAAGGGTGTGCTGTACCATGAGCTGTTGAAAAGTGGTCAAACACAGTCAGTGGTCAGTCACAGGGGATCTCTATAAAGAAGAAATGATCCGTTTGAGCCGAGCATTGCACGAAAAACGACGAGAATATGAAACGAGACAGCATAAAGTGATTTTACTTCATGACAACGTTCGGTCTCACGTCACAAAATCTGTCAAGGAAACGTTAGAAGCACTTCGCTGGGTAGTGTTACCCCATGCAGCTTATTCACCAGACTGTGTCTCTTCCGACTACCACTTGTTTCGGTCGATGGCATACGCACTTGCTGAGGAATGCTTCAATTCTTATCAAAACGTCGAAAAATGGGTCTCTGACTGGATAGCCTCCAAAGATTAGTCATTCTTTCGCCGCGGAATTTGCTTGCTGACCCAAAGATGGGAAAAATCGTTAACGATGGACAATACTTTGATTGGTGTACTTTTTCATTTTGTTTTTTAAATAAAGCCATACGTTTTACAAGAAAACGGATGGAACTTTCCGATTGACCTAATATTTAGAATTATTAAAAGTTTGTAAAGTTTATATAATTGTAGAATAAATAAACACATTTTGTTTATATATGTGTAAAATTTCTAGTGCTCATTATGAAATGAATATATAATAATAATTGTATGGCTCAAAACTTTTACACGCCACTGTATATGTTAGGTTTCTCAATTGGGGCTACTGTTTTAATATATTATTTCTTTTGTACAGTAAAATAATGTTGTAGAGTTTTATTATAGTTATAAGTTTTACTTGTAAAAACTTATGTTATGTACACATACATACCTTAAAAAAAATAATTTGAATCTGAAATTTCTAAAAATGACACAATATGTGTTGCGCTTATACTTGACGCCTTTTTTTACCTTTTTGTTTAAAAAGGTAAGTTTTATATAAGTTTCACTTGTAAAAACTTATGTGCACATACATACCTTAAAAAAAATAAGTTGAATTTGAAATTTCTAAAAGTAACACAATACGTGTTGCGTATACAGGGTGTCCCATTTAACCTGACAAATCGTAATATCTGGAAAACTACATGTCGAATCAAAAAAAGTGGGTAATGAAATTTGTTCGTCTCGAAGGGGGACATCCAATGATATCAAACTCGACCTCCCACCTTAACTTTGAAATCTTAAATAGAAACCCCCATTTTTTTATTGCAGATTCGGATTCTACGCCACAAAATACGTAAGTTTCGTCCGAAACTTTTTTTTTATTCGTGATAGATGGCGCTGTAATCGCAAAAAAATTAGATTTTCTGCAATTCTCCAGAAATGATCATTGGATTGAAAAATAAAAAAAAATACCTGTTCGATATTTTTAAAAAACATAATAACAGCGAGGGGACTCACTTAAAACAAGCACCCCGATGGTGAGAGGCGAGGGAACTCACCTAAAACAAGCACCCCGAAGGGAACAGAAAGCTATTACGTCCTCGTCGTGGTTCCTGGGTAACGCTAAAAGTAGTTTCTCGGAAAAATTCAACGCTATCACGAATGAAAAAAATTGTTTCCATAAAAACTTCACGTAAAATCTAATTCTGCAATGAAAAATGTGGGTTCTCATTTGAGATTTGAACGTTACCACCCTATTCCGAGGGGATGGGGGGAATAACTGTTGTTTTTTAAAAATATTTTTAAAAATATTGAACAGGTATTTTTTTATTTTTCAATCCAATGATCATTTCTGGAGAATTGCAGAAAATATAATTTTTTGCCATTACAGCGCCATCTATCACGAAACAGAAAAAAAGTTTCGGATGAAACTTACGTATTTTGTGGCGTAGAATCCGAATCTGCAATAAAAATGGGAGTTCCCCATTTAAGATTTCAAAGTTGCCCCCCATCCCACCTCCCGGGAGTGGGGTGGGAGGTCGAGTTTGAGATCATTGGATGTCTCCCTTCGAGACGAACAAATTTCATTACCCACTTTTTTTATCCAACATGTAGTTTTCCAGATATTACGATTTGTCAGGTTAAATGGGACACCCTATATACTGGCGCCTTTTTTACCTTTCTGTTTAAAAAGGTAAGTTTTATAAATTTTACATGTAAAAACTTATGTTACGTACATTCTTTGTCGTTAGGTTTTTCTTGAATAATAATAACCTTTAAATAGATATTTTTTGTAAATATTGGATACTATTAATAAATTGATTTTTCAATGACACGGCCCATCGTATCGTCTGCTCAGCATCAGCTGACCGGTCATCAAATGACGGGCTACACAACGTATCGTGCTTAACAATATTCTCACCTTATTATCTTTAGACATTCCCTCTCTCCCTTCCTCTCTCTTTCACTCCTTTCTCTCCGTCACTCCTCTCTCTCTGTCATTCCTCTTTATCTCATTATTCCTCTCTCTCACTTCTCTCTCTCTCTCTCTCTCTCCCCTCTCGTTCTCTTTCACTCCTCTCTCACCCCCCTTCCCACCCGCTCACCCCCCCCTCTCTCTCTCTCACTCTCTCTCTCTCTCTCTCTCTCTCTCTCTCTCTCTCTCTCTCTCTCTCTCGCACATTTTCTCCTATACTGTATTCTAGCATATCTCTCATTTACTCGCTCGCATTCACTGTTGTCTGCTTCTTCAGCGCTTTCGTAGCGCCCCTGGTGTCGGAAAAGCAAGATTCACGCGTATCGCCACTCTTGTGCGTCCGACATTCTTTCTTACTGAATCGAAATCTTCCGTGATTCGGACTTTATCTTAAAATACTCTACTTAGAAACAACGTACACAAAAATCACAAGAACATTTTGCTTCCTTTTCTTTAGGGCCGAATCGATTGGAACTAAAAAAACTTCGTTTGGTTCAGCCATTGCTGAGATATGAATATCTCGCCTCGTTTGATCTCGCGGTTTCGCGCAATATAGACACGGTGTGCCTCTTAATGTTGTATTGAGTAAATTACATAGCATAATTTTAATGTATATTTATTAATTATATATTTCATAATAAACTTGTTATACTTTTAAGATTATATAACTCGATGAAAGTCTATACATTATATATATTGTATATTTATAATTGATAGTCACAATTATGAAGCAGAAACTAAATAGTTATAAAAAAGATTTGGGTAAATATGCACATAAGGTCAACCTCCTCATAAGTCCATGACTTTGATATATGTTGTTAAGAACATGTTCCTGAGTGTTATATAAAAGTTGCAGCTGTCGCTCATTTTTCATTAAAAAGTTATTAACAAAAGAAGTTAAATAAAATGTATGTGATTTTGTAACAACGTATACATATTTTACTATTATAAAATAATTCGTGGTCAGATAATATATTTTGAATATACATCAAATCTCGAGTAACATTAAAAAATGTTAAATAGTACATATAAGCGGAGAAAAGGCGAAGCCTCTACCCCACACTCCCTCCCCAAGAAAATCTTAACTTAACCGAACTTATTGCATCTTTATATGTTGTTAGGTATTGAAAAGATTAAAACTTTTAAAACTCACACTGAACAATATGTGAAGATGCAATACGTTGGGTTAGGTTAGGATTTTCTTGGAGAGGGAGTACAGGAGGGACGGAATCCCTCCCTCGCTTATATATACTGTGTTTCAAAGTAACTTTCTGCAAGTTTTAGATGTCAAATGTACTGTGTTGAAAAATTACGTTGGATTAATGAAACTTCTTTTGTTAATAACATTTCAATAAACAATGACCGCCAGCTGGAACCTTTTGTAAGTTATTTAGGGCTATGTCCTTAATAATATATATGAAATTGAAGATCATCGGCGAGGTATCCCTTAATATACATAATTACCTCAACTTTTTTTGGTAATAACTTTTTAATGAATAAGCGACGGCTGCAACTTTTTGCATAACACTCAGGAACACATTCTTAATAACATATGTCAAGGTCATAGACTTTTGAGGTTGACTTTATGTGCATATTTATCAAGATTTGCTTAAGATATTTTTTCATTGTCAGATTATACTTTATACCTATATCATAATATCATAAAAATCTGATAAATTTGTTAAATAAAATTTGAGGTCCTTTGATAAAAATATATGATATTACAATTTTATCTTCTTTTTAACTGAGTGATGCTTTTTTGATTTTTTTCTAACCTTGCCATCATAATTAATACCAAGAAGTGGATGTCTTATTTTCAGCTCATCAGGAAACACTGGCATGGTACAATTTTGTAAAGGTGTAGGCTCCATTCTTAATGCTCCTGATAATTTTCTTCTTACTGTTAATAAGCCAACTGGCTTGATATTCACTATATAAGTATTATAAAACAGATATATAATTTAAAGATATACACATTCTTTCTAGATATTCTAATAAATTAAAAAATTACCAGTCTTATATTGTGGTTCTTCCCTTCCAGTTCTAAAGACACATGTAATATTATATGTGATGTCATGGACAACTGCGCAATATCGTTTCTCTTTAATTTTAAGTTTTGATTTGTCACTTAGGTTTATTTTTTGACCATGGAGTTCCTTTGGATCTATCTATATGACAGTAAAATATATTATAACCTGACAAAAAATGGACTAAAATATTTATCTTATTTTTCCTCCATTTTTGCTATTAGTTTATATTAAAATATCAGACTAAAAATAGACTATATAATAAAAAATAAGTACTGAGGTATTATATACATATAAGATATATGTATTATTTTCCAATTTCCTATCTCAAGCTATTAGAATAAGTATAAAGAATCCCAATCCCAATACTGTTGCTCACCGACTTAGGAATATCCATTATCCAAATTTCTTCATTATCAGTTACATCATCCAAATTAAATGATTCAGAAGATATAGATTCCACATGTAATATTCCTTCTTGAATAAATTCTTCAAGCTATAGCATATGTACAGATAATTTCCATTCAATTATGCCTTATAAATGAAAACTTATAATTACTATCTATACTATTATATCACTTACATTTCGAGGTCTTGCAGAAGCTGGTATTGACAATGCCAATTTTTGTGATACAACATCGTTTATATTTTCAATATTACAACTTGTCTGCATAACTTCGTTGTCCTTTAATTTTTCACTGAATGATCCATCAGGCTTTTTTAAGATACTTTTGCGTAATTTAGCCACAGGACTATTGGTTACGCTAGGTGGTTGTGTTGTTGTACTTATTTTAATAGACTTGCTGCGTCGAGAGCTTGCAGGCAGGGTATATACAGCATCCTCCATTAAAACCATTGACTTATTTAATTGTGTATTCAAATGTGTTATTGAATCTTCTTGATCGTATATATAGTCTGTCATGTTTACTAAATTTATTAAATATCAGACGATGTTTAATAAACTTTGATTATTTGAGTTTGGATTGAGTTTATACTATATATACTTAACATTTATTATATTACCGTATATGCTTATATACATTTAGAAGGTTAGGTTTTTTAGCTTTTAGCAAAACACTGGTGCGTTCAGAAAACAAAGCGCTCACTCTAAAGCCAGCGGCACACGGTGCTTGTTTTCGTGCTGGATTGCTTGCTGGATGAAAATATTGCGTTGTGATTGGTACATTTCCGAAGATGGATGGAAATGCACCAATCAGAACGCAGTATTTTCATCCAGCAAGCAATCCAGCACGAAAACAAGCACCGTGTGCCGCTGGCTTTAGTAACTATTAAGCCAGCGGCACACGGTGCTTGTTTTCGTGTTGGATTGCTTGCTAAATGAAAATACTGCGTTCTCATTGGTGCATTTCCATCCATCTTCGGAAATGTACCAACGTCTCTCTACATATATATATATATATATATATATAATATTATTCCGATTCCGAAAATTATTATTTATTAAAAATTTTCGTTGATCAAATAAATTTTAGGTGTGTGGAAAATGTTTGCAAAGGTAAATGTTTTCAGACTGAATAATATATCGAATCACGTGATCGCTGCAGTTAGACAAGGATAACACGGTCCCAGCTTAACTATCTCTTTCATTCAGCTCTGACCATGCGAGATCAAAGGAGTGCTCCTTCCAGTATGGTTTTATTTCAATGGTTTTTACTGTTCGTTCTTTCTCGCATAGTCCCGATGGAAGGGGTATAGGGGAAGCAGTTGCTGTACAGTACTGTACAGTAATCACCGCCCCTATTCCCCTTTCATCGGGACTGTGCAAGAGAGAACGAACAGTAAAAACAGAGTGCTTCCTTTTCTACGAGAGTTATACCCCCACTCTTGAAATTTGGGAGAACGTGCAGTCTAGGAACCAGAGCATAGACTTCTGCATAACGCATAATACACAACGCATAAGAGAATTAACCAATCAGAGTTCTTCATTTCTGTCCTGAGGAGGGAAATGAAGAAAACTAATTGGTTTATGCTCTTATGCGTTATGTATTATGCGTTATGCAAAACCTGTGCTCTGGCCCTATGGCTGCGTTCCGATATTCACTATCGGTACTGAAAATATATAGTTTGTATCACATATATTATAGATTTTCAGCACTGGCAGTGAATATCGGAACGCAGCTTATGACTATGTTTACACGGCTTCTAATTTCGACTTAGTAACGCTAATGGGTGCATTCAGTACTACAACCGCTCACTGAGCGCTAAGTAAGCTCTTGCATCTGATTGGTGTATATTTTTTTAAATCTAAAGGTATGTACCAATTAGATGCAAGAGCTCACTTAGCGCTCAGTGAGCGGTTGTAGTACTGAATGCACCCAATGTTATAACTCCTACTTAAGGTGAGTTGCGTTTACACATTTACGCTTATCTATTTTAAATAACTTAATAACTTTCGAGTGAGTCAAGGATTTCCATTAGTACCAATATAAAAGGCCGAAAAATGAAATGATTTTCCACGTTTGAGCCTCTTCACCAAATGACTTTGAGTTACTACATCAATGTAATAACTTCGTCGTAAAGGAGTGTTACAAGTCCTGTGTATGTCTCCAGCGCAATCAAAATAAGAATTCCCCCACTACCTCTTGAAACGCGGGCGTTGCCTTTGAAATCGGCTTGCGCTGCTCACTTTATTGCTAGCACTGCACTAGTGCGCTGGAGACGTACATAGGACTTGTGCTGCCACCGTTTATGTTGATGCGTCTACTGTTCTTGCCTTCATTGGCCGGGATATATTTTAAAATAAGAATTTTTAGCGATATTTTCTTATTTTGATGTTTTCTTTGATGATTTCTTATTTTCATATAAGACTCGAATTTTGTTTGTAACAATTAGCTTTACGCGCATATACAGGGTGCACGATTTATCTGAAGACATTGAAATATCTCGAGAACTATGCATTGGATAAAAAAGTGGTTAATGAAAGTTGTTAGTCTCGAAGGGGGACATCCAATGATGCCAAACTTGACTTCCCACCCCACCCCCTGGGGATGGGGTTGGGGGCAACTTTGAAATCTTAAATGGAAAACCCCATTTTTTATTGCAGATACGGATTCTACGCCACAAAATACTTTTAAATTGTAATACTTGTAAATTTTGTCCGAAACTTTTTTTTAATTCGTGATAGATGACGCTGTAATCGCAAAAAATTATATTTTCCGCAATTCTCCAGAAATGATCATTGGATTGAGAAATAAAAAATACCTGTTCAATATTTTTAAAGAACATAATAAAAGTTATTCCTCCCCCATCCTCTCGGGGTAGGGTGGGTGATAACGTTCAAATCTCAAATGGGGACCCACATTTTTCATTGCAGAATTAGATTGTACGTGAAATTTTTATTGAAACAATTTTTTTCATTCGTGATAGATAGCATTGCACTGCCTTTTATAATAAACCGTAGTTCGCCATACACCCACAATGGCGCGTCGAGCAGTTCCCTCTTCGATTCGGGTTCCCATTTGAGATTTGAACATTACCACCCACCCTACCCCGAGAGGATGGGGGGGAATAACTTTTATTATGTTCTTTAAAAATATTGAACAGGTATTTTTTATTTCTCAATACAATGATCATTTCTGGAGAATTGCGGAAAATATAATTTTTTGCGATTACAGCGCTATCTATCACGAATAAAAAAAAAAGTTTCGAACAAAATTTACGTATTTTGTGGCGTAGAATCCGTATCTGCAATAAAAAATGGGGGTTTCCATTTAAGATTTCAAAGTTGCCCCCAACCCCCACCTCCAGGGGATGGGGTGGGAGGTCGAGTTTGGTATCATTGGATGTCCCCCTTCGAGACTAACAACTTTCATTAACCACTTTTTTTTATTCAATGCATAGTTCTCGAGATATTTCAATGTCTTCAGATAAATCGTGCACCCTGTATATATATTAATCATTAACTTGCAGTTCAAGACGCAGTTAATGATGCAAAATTATGCATAAACTATTTTTTGTATAAAGCCGAAAATATTTGCAGTATATTTTTTGCAGAGAATATCCAGTGAACCACAAAATAATGGTAACATAACAAAATATATATATATATATTTATTAAATATACAAATTATTAATTATATATTAATGGCATATTGGTACCTCGTCGTGCTTTTTCTCCATCTTTATGCTTTACAGTTATTTTATATTCCGTATTGTCCTCTGCGTCAATAAAAGTCAACTCCTCTATGGGTTCCGCCATGTTTCTAGTCTGCGACTGCCTCACCTCGCGAGCCACAGTAACAAAAGTAGGAAGTGACGACAAAATCTATGACGTCGTACGAACACGAAAGTGTTTTGAAAGCTTACTGCCGCCTATAGGCCATCACACACAAATGAACGTAAGCAGTAAGACGTAAGCAGTAAAGAAACTAACCAATCACAATCAATTATTCTCGTAAGTTTTAAAATGGCGTCCTTAAATTTCGATTGTGATTCGATTGTGTGGTCGATTTGCTTACTGCTTACGTCTTACTGCTTAAGTTCGTTTGTATGTGATGGCCTTAAATCGGAACGGACTCACAGTACTACCAGTACTGCCAGTACTGTCAGTAAATAATGAAACGCAGCCTTTGTACAGATGTCCTTTATTTGCTAAAGAATCTGATAGTCTGTTGTTAAAAATATATTACAAAGGAGATATCGCATGCAATCAGGAATTGGAAAAGTCAGCTCTCAATACCAACTTTATTTCAAGCTTCGTCGAAATATTCAGATTTCTACTGAACACTAACCAATCGTTGTGAACCCTATGACTTCCCCTTATAACTTAATATAACATGTGAGTGGCGTTCCAGCATCTATTGTATAGTCTGTAAAGTAAGAGCATGCACGGGTTAATGTGTAGAAAAACTTATTTTTAATGATTTTTAAGTACATGGATTTGTTATATTCCATGAGAAGAAAAATGCTATACCATTAATAATGAGTCCAGTCACCACCGGCATTGATAATTGCCTGGCATATCCGAAGCATACTTTTCACTAAGTTGACTGCGTATTCGTTCGGTAAAGACCTCCAAATGAGACGAATTTCTCGTGTCAGCTGCTTCAAAGTGCACACTCTTTTTCTTCGAAGCTTATGCTTGAGACCACACATTTTCAATAGGATTTGCATCTGGCGACTGCAATGGCCAATCAAGTGTGACGATGCCAGACTGCTCTTTTCACTCGGTGCAAAGCTTGCTCCGGTATTTTGGGTCGTCTTCCTGTAAGATCCAGTCCTCGTTTTTTTTTATGAAGCATCGTTCAGCAGTCGGCAACAAACACTTCTCATAAATTTTAAATATTAAGGTCGGGTTCCGCTTAAACAAATTCACAATTTTTTTTTCCATATTCGGCGTCACTTTGCCTATCGAGCCACGTTCTGGCAAGTCATCGACATTTTTGATCTTCTTATATTGCTGAACCCACTTAGCGACGAACGATTTTGACTTTCCCATGTATTTAGCAGCCACTGCATATGCCACTTTTGGTCCTTTGGGGTGGGAACAAAGGAACATAGCCTCGTAGCGCGATGCGTATGCGGCACTCATGGCGGTTAACGTGTTTCTCAGGTTAGAATTCGACACCAACTGAATCTTTTGACAAAGCATTCACGACAAAGATTTCATCTATCGGCTCACAAAAAACTAGAACGATATTCGAAGCCAACTGCCATTTATGCCATGCACGCTCTTACTTTACAGACTGTATGCACAGAGCCATCTATTGAAGATTTATTTTTTATTATCTGTCACCTCCGTGACAGATCTCCTAATCTAAATTGCTGTCAACTTTAACAATTAATATCTCGTTCCATAAGACAGCGACGATATTTCAAATAGAAAAGCTGTTTGTCTTGCAAAAACGCGTCGATTAAGTATTTTTTCGTCGATATTGAAGATGAGGGGAGTATTTTGTATAATTACCCAATTAAAAATCCAGTAGGAAGAAACATACTGGATGTAATGTCCTCTTGTAAGTATATAAACTTATTGTAAAATTAAAAAAGTGTACAATAAATAATGTATTGGAGACTTGAATAAGTTCTCGCTGTTTTTTCGTGAAAATGAATGTTTTATTTAAAAAAATTAGTAAAGAATATGTCATTAAAAGTATTGTCCATCGCTAGCCACTACTTTCTTCCATTTTTCTAACAGTATACGAATACCATGTCGAAAGAACGACACATCTTTTGAGGTTATCCACGAATTGACCCATTTTTTGGCATCTTCATAAGAATGGAAGTGCTGCTCAGCCAGGCCATGAGTCATCGATCGGAACAAGTGGTAATCGGAAGAAACAATGTCCGGTGAATACGGCGGGTGAGGTAGGACTTCCCATTTGAGCGTTTCCAAGTAGGTTTTGACCGGTTTTGCAACATGTGGCCGAGCATTGTCATGCTGCAAAATTACTTTGTCGTGTCTCTCCTCGTATTGCGGCCGTTTTTCCTTCAATGCTCGGCTCAAACGCATCAATTGTAGTCGATAGCGATCTCCCGTGATGGTTTCGTTGGGTTTGAGGAGCTCATAATATACTACACCCAGCTGATCCCACCAAATACAGAGCATGAGCTTGGAACCATGGATATTCAACTTTGCCGTCGATGTTGATGGCCGGGCTTACCCCACAATTTTCTACGCTTCGAGTTATCATTGTGTATCCACTTTTCATCGCCAGTCATGATACGATGCAAAAAACCTTTCCTTTTCTGCCGTTGGAGCAGCTGTTCACACGTGAAAAAACGCCGTTCGATATCTCTCGGCTTCAATTCGTACGGCACTCAATTTCCTTGCTTTTGAATCATTCCTAATGCTTTTAAACGTTTGGCAACTGCTGTGTGGTCAACTCCTAATGATTCTGCAAGTTCATTTTGCGTCTTACGTCTTAAGACATGGGTCTTAATCGAGTAATGCTTCCAATTCTTCGTCTTCAAACTTTTTCGATGCGCCACAGCGTTCTTTATATTCAACATCAAAATCATTATTTTTAAAGCATCTAAATTAATCTCTGCATGTTGTTTCCGACAGAGTATGGTCGTCGTAAGTATCCACAAGAATTCTATGTGCTTCAGTTGCAGATTTTTTTTTAAAAAGGTAATGCAGTAAAATTCCGCGCAAATACTCTTTTTTTGGCACGAAATTCGACATGTTTAACGCTATAAAATAATATGTTATTTACGCTTCGGCAGAATAACATATACTGTCACTTCGAGCCTAATGGTGGAGCTTCACAATGAAGTTGGCTGTAGTATTGTCCGATGCAAAAAGACTAAGATAACACCATCTGTCGGGAAACAGCGAGAACTTATTCAAGTTCCCAATATTATTTATTATATAAAATATATATTGTACATTACTATTAGGTTTCTTGACCACTGGCATGCGCGCACTATTGCACCATTGACGCTCTAACTGACACATACTATTACATTAAATATCTACATCAAACTAATTGAATATTAATGGTCATACTTAACCGACACCCAATACTGATGCCCAATGCTTAATCATTCAATATTCAGTGTCTATACCAATAATACACCGAATATTGATGGTTACACCCAACCGACACTCAATATTGAGTGTATACACCAAGATAATAACGAATATTGCTGGTCTCACCCAATTGACACTCAATATTGAGAGTCTATATCAAAGTTACACCGAAAATTTGATAGTCACACCCAACCACTCTCATTCAACATTGATGCTCAACACTCAATTAATACCGAATGTTGACAGTTAACACTCAATTTTCATAGTAAACACTCAAATTTCAGTATTTACACTCAAAATTAACTGCGTAGTGCATTGATGGCTAAAGTTCCAATTATAAATACAGTTCATGGAGACGCTTCAAAATCACTTTAAGAAATCACTACTATGACCATTCTCAAATTCCTCTCTATCTCTGAGGGTAGCAATCATTAAGCATTCTAAAATATTTTACTTACAGAATGATATCATCGAACTCCGCGCATAAGAAAATGTTTTGAAATATTAGCATATTCTGAGTGATATAGTGGAAATCTGTGGGAATTGAGTAAAATAATTGTTTTCGCCTCAACCAATAATAAATTTAAATTACTCATTTGTTATTTATGTACAACTCATAATAAAAATATGAAATTTAGATTTAAAAATAATTTAAGTTGTATTAAAACATGCAATACAAAAGTAGTATTTCCTTAAATTGTTATATACTTTTATTATAAATTATCTTACAATCTTACCTTATATAGTCTTATCTATCTTTCAGTCCAAAGTTCACTTTAGATAACCATATGGTATTTGAAAAAAATTTACTTTTATTGAAAAATATCATGAGATGTTTAAAATATACATAAATAAAGTTTATTGAAAAAAGATAAATTTTTATCAAACCATAATAAACAAACTACCAACATGTTATTCATGTAGAATATAATTTTGAATAAAAGTATATAATTTAGTTTCAAATGAAATTAACGTTGCATTAAAACATAGAAAGTTTCTTAAACCACATTCTACCTTTATGAAAAAAACCCTGAATTTTGGGTGTAAACACTGGGTGTTTACCATGAAAGTTGAGTGTTGACCGACAACATTCGGTGTTAGTTGAGTGTCGGTTAGGTGTGACTATCAAATTTTCGGTGTAACTTTGATGTAGACTCTCAATATTGAGTGTCAATTGGGTGTGATCATCAATATTCGTTATTATCTTGGTATAGACACTCAATATTAGGTGTCAGTTGGGTGTAACCATCAATATTCGGTATATTATTGGTGTAGACACTTTTTTTTGTCACGCAGGGGAAATCCGTCTTGGATACCCTGCCCTTTTGGGGAGGGCGGGGGTTATGTCGGACTCCTACCGACTAAAACCCCTGCGGGGTGCCTACCGCTCGGACCGAAGTAGGGGGGAGTCAGGGGAACTACACCTGCATTCCCTCCCCGACCCCAGAGCTCTCATGGAGTCCCACGCCCCTCCCTTTTGGGAGTTACGGGCGCGGCGCCCCGGCCGGGTTGGCCTTCCGGTCTAAATTAAGGAGGGGGACATCCACCTCCCTCCTCACCCCGCCTTCCCCCTTCCCTACTGAGTGGGTAGGTGGGCAGGGGGAGTGTGGCCTGGCCCCAACCAAGCCCCACTCCCCTTCTCCCTGTCCTCACCAACGCGCTGTGCGGGTGGGAGGGCCTAGCCCTCCTCACCCACCCCCATTGCGTCGTCGAAGGCGGGCCCAAGGCGGCCTCCAGCGAGCCGGAGGCCTCTCCTCCTCGGCCGGTGCCACCTCGGGCCCGCTCCCCCATCCACCGTCGCTCCCTGCGACGGAGCGGGCAACGCTTTCACTCGGCGGCCTCCTTGCAGGACATAACGTTCCGGCAAAAGGAGGTTGCCTCTCCCCATACCTCCTCGCTCCCGTACATTGCTCTCAGCAAGAGCGAGGCCTCCCCCTGGCACCCCATCGCCCGGGCGACGATACGGCGCTGCTTTTCCCACGCCTGGCATTCAGCCAGGGTGTGCTGCACCGTGTCTTCTCACGCCGGGCAGTGGTGACATCCCGCAGTGGGCTCCCTTTCAATCCGGTGTAGGTACCGACCGAAGCACCCATGCCCGGTCAGCACTTGCACTACATGAAATATGAGCCCGCGTCCCCGCCTGCCCGCCATTTCCGGCAGGCAGGGGCGAACGGCGTCGGCCGTTCGAGGCCCGTATCCTCGGGAGTCGGCCAATATGCCCGATGGCGTCTTGGCGCTTTGACGCCGCGCGACAGTCAGCGCGAGACGTGTTATCGCTCAGCCCCTACGCACACAGCTTGCCGCGGAGCGTCTATAGGCCGCGCTGGGCGTGGGAAACGCCAAACTTTGCGTTGTTATAATTAAAAAACTATTACGATTTTCACATTATGGTAGAGGACTTTTTTGTTCCTCTCACTTAGCTCTATGTCCCTACGGAGTCCGTGTCCCAAAGTTCTGAAACACCCTGTATATAATCTCATTCGAGTATTATACCACATTCGAGTATTACAATTGATGGTTAACTCTATAATTACACTGAAAACGAACACTATCAAAATATATATAATACAGTTAAATGAAAATATATTTAGCCTATTTATTTATTCGATCAATGCCTTATTTTTAAGTTCTTAAGTGGAAGCAATAAATAAACAAAGATTTCACGAACATATTCTTTCATTTGTGTGTATTGCCATCTATTGCAAATTGGGTGCATTTAATTTCAGGGTTTCCTTTTCAGGGTTTTATTTGGGTGTTATTTTGAGAGTTTTCTTAGGTATTATTTTGAAAATTTTCGTTGAGTGTTAATCTTCATTTGGGTGTAACCTTCAATTGACGATCCGAAATCACACCCAATTTGAATGTTTTTTCAGTGTATAACACCCAAAATTGAGCGTTTATTCGGTGTATAACACTCAAGTTGAGCATTTTTTATCAGTATTTAACAACCACAGTTAATCGTTTTTTGAGTGTTAACACCCAAAATTGAGGTTTTTTTTTCATAAGATACTTTTATTATAAATTATGTTACAAAATCTTATTTATTTCTTGTTTATTATGTGAGTTTATTTCAGATAAGTTACGATACATGTTGCTCGAGAAATTGTTTTAAAAGGCCTTTATCAAGAGGTATTATAAGATGTTCAACACCATTAATGTTGCGTTTAATTCGAATCAATTTGTGATCTAAGAATTCAGTTAACTGCGCTCTCAACGCTAAATCGGAACTGACCAGGAACTGCTCTCGCGCTGCTTGATATAGATCCTTGAACGACATTCCTAAATAAGATAATATTAAATTATATAGGGTGTCCCATTTTAAGAAACGCATCCCGATAATTCTTCAACGAAGCATTTTCAGCAAAAATGTTTCGGATAAAAGTTATATGATTTCAAGAGACATAAAACAACTATACTATTTATTTACAAATGACACCACTTTCGAGGTATTCACTGATCATTATTTTTCTTAAATGGAAATCCCAATTTTTTATTACACCATCTTTTTCTACCAATTATTTCAAACAACTTTTGTCTAAAACACTTTTTTATTTGTCTAATATTTTTTTTATATATTTAAGGAAAACTTGATAACATTTTCAATATTTAACTCACGATATTTCGCTATTTGCCGGACGAAAAAGTGGTACTAGACTTTTTGCTCTACTTGGTCTTAAGAATATATTGTTACAATAGCATCCTGACTTTTGTTAATTTGATGATTTTGAAATTTCCAAAAGTCAGTATATATAGGGTGGCTCACGTAAAGTGTTACAAGTCCATAACTTTAAAAATGTTTATAAGGAAGTTTCATATATACGAGAGGCCTCTCTAACTACATAAACGTAAAGTCGGCCCCGTTTCCCCTTTAAGGGGGTTAACTTCATAATTTTAAATGGAACCCCCTATAAAATGTTGCATATTTGGATTCTACGGGTAAAAAATAAGTAAATTTTATCTGAAACATTTGTTTGAAAAATACTTCTATTAAAAGTTATAAGCATTTAAACTTTTAGCAATTTCATTCATGATTGAACTCCATTGATACAAAGTTGCGTTCGCGATACAACGAAAACAAAAAAGACCTCAGAGTACATACTTGATATTAATCAAAAGAAATATAAATAAACACATTTATCGAGAAACGTAAATACAGATCAGTCTGTATATATATATATATATATATATTGGAGATTTCAAAATCAAATTAACAAAAGGCGCTATTGTAACAATATGTTCTTGAGACCAAATAGAGTAGAAAAGTCTAGTATTATTTTTCCTTCCGACAAATATATCGAAAGTGGCGCCATCTGCAAACAAAATAATAGTTGTTTTGTTTCTCTTGAAACTATATAACTTTTGTCTGAAACGTTTTTTTTCTAAAACGTGTTTCTAAAATATTTCGCATTGCCCCATTGCTGTTTATATACTCTATATATATGTATACTATGTATTTACATACATATACACTTACGTATATATACAGGGTGTAACAGCAACATACAGGTCAGTATGACCTGTTGCTTGCTCCTATTCGGATGATAATGCAGAGGTTGCCGAAGAAGTCACTCGTTGACTTTGTTGACAATAATATTTGCAGTGTTCCGAGTTATGACAAATGCAACTAACTTTTCACCGTGATCGTTGTGATAGTTTATCGACCATGTACCGACATGAGTCGAGCTTCATTGAATTAAAGAAGTTGTTTAAAAAATGAAACTGGGGAATAAATATTACGGAATAAAGCAGAATAAGAGTAATATTTAAAGAGATAAATAATACAATATATTTCCTGGTTTTGCATCATTTCTTAATTGTTTTTTCACGTTAGAAAGTTCGATAGAAATTGGAGATTAGAAAGAATGATACAGAAATATTTAAGTCTTACACAGGGTGTCCCATTTTAATTTCTCACCCCAAATAACTCTTCAGTATTGAAATTTCAAGGAAAATGATCTGAATAAAAGTTGTAGGGATTTTAAGTGAGCTACCTTATGATGACCTTGACCTCTATTTTCAAGGTCATTTGAAGGTCAACTTGCATTTTAAAAAATGGGAACTCTTATTTTTTATTACATTGTTTTTTTCTACTAGTTAATTTGAACAACTTTTGTCTAAAAAATTTTTTTTGTGTAATATTTTTTGAGATATTTGAGGAAAACTTGATAATTTTTTCAATATTTAACTTAGAATATCTCGCTAACTATTTGTCGGAAGAAAAAATGGTATTAGACTTTCTTGCTTTATTTAGTCTCAAAAATATATTGTAACAATAGCGCTTTGACTTTTGTTAACTTACTGATTTTTGGAAATTTCAAAATCATCAAATTAACAAAAATACGTTGCGAGATACCGTAAGTTAAATGTTGAAAAAGTTATCAAGTTTTCCTCAAATATCTTAAAAAAATATTATAAGACAAATAAAAAAATGTTTTAGACAACAGTTATTCAAATTAACTAGTAGAAAAAAACAATATAATAAAAAATAAGGATTCCCATTTAAAAAACGCAAGTTGACCTTCAAATGACCTTGAAAATAGAGGTCAAGGTCAAGGTCATCATAAGGTAGCTGACTTAAATCCTTACAACTTTTATTCAGATCTTTTTCCTTGAAATTTCAATACTGAAAAGTTATTTGGGGTGAGGCACTAAAATGGGATACCCTGTATACTATATTTCATCTATGTTTCTACAAAAAATCGCTTCTGCAAAAGTATGAATAGACTACAAACGCAGTATACATATTGGTTGCAACTTAATCGACCTTAAGGTGTAAAAAATTTCAAAAAATAGGCCCTATTTTCGATAAGAGATGCCAAGATACAATACTATAATGTACCTAAAATATGTTGCTTGATAGTTGCGGTCGATTAAATTGCAACCAATATTTATACTGCGTTTCTAGTCCATTCATACTTTTACAGAAGCGATCTTTTGTAGAAACATGGATGAAATACAGTATGTAAGACTTTTAAATATCGTTTTTTATATCGTTCGTATGTTAGACTTTTTATATCGTTCTTTCTAATCTCCAGTTTCTATCGAACTTTTCAACGTGAGAAAACAATTAAGAAATTATGCAAAACCAGGAAATATATTGTATTATTTATCTCTTTAAATATTACTCTTATTCTGCTTTATTCCGTAATATTTATTCCCCAGTTTCATTTTTTAAACAACTTCTTTAATTCAATGAAGCTCGACTCATGTCGGTACATGGTCGATAAACTGTCACAACGATCACGGTGAAAAGTTAGTTGCATTTGTCATAACTCGGAACACTGCAAATATCATTATCAACAAAGTCAACGAGTGACTTTTTCGGCAACCTCTGCATTATCATCCGAATAGGAGCAAGCAACAGGTCATACTGACCTGTATGTTGCTGTTACACCCTGTACATATATGCAGGGTGTTTGATAGCTGATCATGCAGACGAAAGTTGGAGATAGATTGGGTGTAGCCGAGAAGAAGTCATGTACTATAATGTCAAATTGGCAATAGTTACCGAGTTATTAATTAAAACATGTGAGTCAACGAGCGCGTAGAGAGCGGAGGGCAGCCACAGTAAGCACGTAGACATTTGATACAAGCGGAGTCAGCGAGTGACGGCAGGCAAGCGCGCGCGGCGAGGGGCAACGTAAGCGACAAGAGGCGATCGCGCGCGACGAGGAGCGAGCGAGAGCTTTTTCTTTATAGCTTTTTCCTTATAGCTCGCTCGCTCGCTCTTCGTCGCGCTCGCTCGCCTCTTGTCGCTTGCGCTCGCTCGCTCCTCGTCGTTCGCCTCTTGTCGCTTACGTTGCCCCTCGCCGCGCGCGCTTGCCTACCGCCACTCACTGACTCCGCTTGTATCAAATGTCTACGTGCTTACTGCGGCCGCCCTCCGCTCTCTACGCGCTCGTTGGCTCACATGTTTTAATTAATAACTCGATAACTATTGCCAATTTGACATTATGGTACATGACTTTTCTTCTCGGCTACACCCAATCTATCTCCAACTTTCGTCTGCATGATCAGCTATCAAACACCCTGTATAAATTATTGTGATATATCAAATAATATACTCAATGATAATCACCTGTGTAATTACTGTCAGTGTGATTTAATTGGTATTTAACCACAAGTATATAAATCGTCCGTGCGTTTGAAGTTAGAGAGAGGAAGACATTCTGAAGGGAAGATAAGGCGAGTGCACCGTTCTGTTGAACCAATAAAGAACTTTCATACGAAGTTTCAGTTTGATATGGTAAGAATGTGGTCGCGTCCCACCAGTAGAAATTAAATTTCGCACGTTTCGTATGATCCCAGACTGGAAAAGATTGAATGTGTTGAAAATAATTGAAAGAATAGTAAAATATTAAAATAGAAACATTAAACAATTTAGGATTGATAAAAATCAAGTGACATATTTCTGAAAAAAAAATAGATTTTCATAAAAAAGAAAAGGTTTGTAAAAAATATCAGAACAATTGATTCGACAAAAATAAATAACATACGAAGTGGTGCATTGATGTGATCGACGGACGCTAAAATCCGAATATTCTGGATAGCTGCTAGACTAGTGAGAATATTTTGAACTTTACTTGAACGTAACATTATCCCATCTATATTGTGAATTAATAAGTAGAGCCGATCATCTGGATTAGCTGTCAGAACTTTTTCAATAAGTTCCAAACAATCGTTAGGACTTGATGGGCAATCTAATTCTAATATTTCTGTAATTATTTCATTTAATATCTGAAACAACATTCTTTTTTAATTTCATTAGTACAGCACCGTTGTACACTCAAGAACTACTTTCATAAGGAGCTAATAAAATGATATATGAGGTGTTTCAGACCACTAGGGTCACCCGATTTTTTCGTAAACGCGACTTTTTAGAGAAAAATGTTTCAGACAAAAGTTATAGAGCCTCAAAGAATCTATTTACTGACGCCATACATTTGATCTTGAGATGATCTTGAAAAGCCCAGTCAAGCTCAACATAAATGGAATCTTAAATGGAAACCTCAATTTTTTACACCGCCTTTTTCCACCAATTAATTTGAACAACTTTTATCTAAAACATTTTCTTTTTGCCTAATATTTTTTTAGATATTTAAGGAAAACTTGATAACTTTTTCAATATTTAACTTACGATATCTCGCTAACTATTTATCAGAAAAAAAGTGGTACTAGACTTTTTTGTTCTATTTAGTCCCAAGAATATATTTTTCAATAGCGTCCTGATTTTTGTTAATTTCATGATTGTGAAATTTCTAAAAGTCAGTAAATTAAAAGTCAGGATGCTATTGTAAATATGTTCTTGAGACTAAATAGAACAAAAAGGTCCAGTACCATTTTTTCTTCCGATAAATAGTTAGCGAGATATCGTAAGTTAAATATTGAAAAAGTTATCAAGTTTTTCTTAAATATCTAAAAAAATATTAGGCAAATGAAAGTGTTTTAGATAAAAGTTGTTCAAATTAATTGGTGAAAAAAGACGGTGTAATAAAAAATTGGGGTTTTCATTTAAGATTTTTATTTTTGATCTCGACTGGGCTTTTCAAGGTCATCCCAAGGTCAAATTTATAACATCAGTAAATAGATCTTTCAAGCTCTATAACTTTTGTCTGAAACATTTTTCTCTAAAATGACGCGTTTACGAAAAAATTGAGCGACCAGGGTGATCTAAAACACCCTTGTATATGTGTGTCACTTTGTAAATCATATATTTAACTTACATCTTTTATTGCCAAACTAGGAAAAAACCCGTTTATAATCAATGTTGGATGATCATTTAAGACATCATGATGGAAATTATTAATTAAGTTCCTTTTTGAGCCTAAACCATGAAGTAGGAGACTGTAACCTTGCCTATTATTACACATAATAATATACATTTTAAGATTTTAAATATTGCCAGAGAATTTTTTGATAGCCATATAACATACATATTTCATACTCACTCAATTATAAAATGCCACATTGGGAAGAACAATCTATAATTTTCCACTAATAAATGAATACGTTTCCTATGTGTCGTAGAAACATAATTCTGATTTACCAGTGGTTCCCCTAATTTTTCCTCAATAAGATGTACATTCCGAAGCCTGTCTAATGTACGATCAGATGTAATTGTTTTTTCTTGTTGGGATTCGAAATATTCATCAGACTTTATATGCTATAAGTTCCAAAAAATATATAATTAATAAACACTATAGAGAATGAGAATATTACTTACATATAATATTACATATATTATAACTACACATCACACTTTATTATTCTCAACTTACATAATCTTTATAAATAACAGTTTTACAACCATTCTTTGCCTTATGTCTGGGAACATTTTGTATTTCATGTTTTGGTGAAAATTTTTGTACTGTACATTGTTTCTTGTCTATTTTTTCTTGTTTAATATTGTCCTTTTTCTCATTAACATCAGAATTGTTATTCTCTTCACTATTATCAGAATCAGATATATCTGATTCTGTATTAACTTCGTCTGTAGGAATATATTCACTATCCTCAGATATACTTTCGTTGCCACTTGAATCTACATTAGGCAAAAATCGCTTCCGGTTCACTGAAATATACAAAAAGAATTACAAAGTTAAAAACATATAAATATATCTTTCATATTTTTTATATATTATAAAATAAAATATTTAACCTTTTATGTCAACATCCTTGAGTTTAATTGACTTTGTAGTTTTTGGATCTATTACAATCTTATCCAAAACAATTCTCAGATCAGACATTGTCTTAAGATGTACAGGTGTTGAAGGTATACGACACTGATTAGCTTTAAGTATCATACTGTTCTTTTTTATTGGTGTTTGGAATCCATATAATTTTCTTCCACTCACATCATTCTCAGAAAATAATTCTGAAATATTAAAATACTCCAATAACAAATAATAAAAGACTCAAATAATGAATAATAAATTTTTAATACTTTATTACCAAAAGGTTTTTGTACATCCTCTTGTATATCATCTAGTTCTGTTTCCACTTCAGATTTTAATACATTAGCTGGTGCTGCAAAAAATAAAGATATAATAAACACATTCCATATTATAGTAATATAATATTAAACTGAAGCATAATACAAAATAAAAAAGAATATGACCTAAATCTCAAAACAGATATAATACACATTTATAGCAATTTTTGTATCATTATAAACTCACGAGAGTTAGAAGTTGTTTCTAAGTCACTGTCGTCTTTATAGTTCACAAAGGATTTTATTCGCGAAGATCTTCTCAAAGCTCCAGCCGAAGACATATTTTATATACGTTTATATAAATTCTCGTTGATGAATAATTATGTACGGTCAGACAGAAGCCTGAGAGCGGGCATGGCTGCATTTACAGCGTTATGGAAAAGTTGGCTGATTCGAAGCGCCAACTGGGTCCATTTTTCATAGACATGAACTACTAAGCCAATGTCCACGATTTGTTGGTACTATTCCGTGCTATGTCCATAATTATTTGGTTCTGTTCTATGCTATGTTCACGAGCGAGCTAGATTAGTTAGATAAAAACGAAGAATCGGTCTTTGTCTCACCACCAGCGAATATACAATCGCAACGAAGCGAGCTAGCAGCGATGTTATCGTACGGCAGACGTCGCCATCCCCACTTTCACCCCCTTGTTTTCCTTTCCATATTGTTTTATATTCATAATTCGGGAAGAAAATAATTTCAAGAGTTCGGATGATTTCTAGCAATGACGCGACAGAGATAACGCGCGGCCACATTAATTTATCATGACTTTTATAATACTTATAATTGCATAAACGCCCATATGTGCAAATTATAGATAATTATTGCGCGTATGTTTTAATATTGTACAATATGGTATATAATAACAACTTTATTTCTTGCAGTAATTTTTTTAAGATTTTCGTTGAGGTCGTGCATTAATTTTTTTCTTCATCAATTAGTTTTCTGCAAAAATTACGATTTTTTAAATAAAATATAAAATGTTTCTCTTCTCTTCTCTCCGAAGAGTTAATTAAAAAATATGTACTCCACAGAGTCAACAAAAAAATGTGTAGTCAGAAGAGTCAATTTAAAAGTGTACTCCGAAAAGTCAATTTAATAGCGTATTCCGAAGAATCAATTTGAAAGCGTACTCTGAAAAATCAAATTAATATTGTAATATTGTAAATATTGTCCGAAAAGTCAATTTATAATAGAATATTTACTTCGATGATTCAGCTAAAGAAAAAAAACATTTATTTATTATTATATTCAGAGAATAATATTTAATTTATTATTTATACTTATCTTACTTATGCTTACCCTACATATGCTTCTTTGAATGAAAAATTTAATTTGTTGACTAATTCAGATTCAGATTTGTTAAAATATCTCTTATGCGCAACTCTTGAACAGGTAGGTAGTAAAATAATTTTCTTTCTTTACGAATTTTATAAACTTTTCAAGAACATAAAAATTGAAAGATTCTCAGAGAACAAATAACTATTCTTGAACATTTAAACCAAAGGAAAATCTTTTCCCATTAACAAAGAATGAATAATTAATATCTCACACAAGAGGAATCTTCATCCTTGAAATCACCGCGCGATTTTGCTTTTAGAAAAGTATAATATTGATGTAATAGTAACAAATGCTATCCAAAAACGGTGCAAATCTTAAACGTTTTTGAGAAATGCAGTTTGAAGTTTAGTCTTTTCTGTTAATGTCGTTATAGCAGAAGAATTACCAATTTGCTTCAGTAGCGCAGAGGATCAGGCTTTGTGATATGAGCGTAGAGATTGTCCAAGTGTGTTATTTTTGCTATCACAGGGAGAACTATGTAGAATGTATAATAATACGCAGACAAATTCTTTACATAATCATACTTATTTTTTTTAGCATGAATAAAAATGATTAATGCTAACATGATAAGTGTATATCGCAATTGTACGTGTACACATACACACACACATACGCACGTATACCAATGATGTCAAAACCGGACAATTCGTGAAAATTTTTTATTGATCGCAATTGTACGCAAAGACGAAAGAGAAATACACGGGTCTCCACGGGTATCTCATTATATTAATTGTCTATGAGCTGATAAACAGTTGATCTCCGATATTTACAAGTTACGCTTGCCCGCAGCTTGTTCGGTTTTGACATCATTGGTATCAGTGATGCGAATTTGGTGACGGGCTTGCTCGAGGATTCTCCTCCCCCCCCATATACGCACACAGTCAGCTCGGTCAATCCGTGTGAGCCACGCGATCGGCAATCGTCGACGCGCCGAGCGAGCGAGAGAGAGAGAGAGAGAATATCATTCCCTTCTTGTCGCTCTCGTTCTCGCTCAGCGAGCCTAATTTTTTCTTGCCCATAATCTGAATCGCGGGCGCGACTGTCTTTGTCTCCTTTCCTCTCTGTGACAATACTGAAAAGTTTTTTCTACTCGGCGCACCGAAATTATTACAAATAATATTTTATTATTAATATTAGGAGCGCAAAAAAGTTCTGAGCCTTTTTTTGCAAAATTCAAAATTTATTTAAAAACAAACAAAACTATATTAATCAACGAAATATTCCCCGTTTGCATCGATGACCTTTTGCCATCTTTCGGGCAGCTTGCGAATTCCCTGATGGTAGAAGCTCACCGGCTTCAAGGCGATAAAGTCATCAATGCATTTTCGTATCTCTTCAAGTGTCACAAAATGTGTATCAGCCAAGAAATGCTGCAGAGACCGGAATAGGTAATAATCGGAAGGCGCCATGTCTGGGCTATACGCCGCGTGCGGGAGAAGTTCCCAGCCTAACGCAAAGATATGGTCCTGAGTCACTTTCGCAACATGTGGTCGGGCATTATTATGAAGCAGTATCACTTTACGACGTCCTTTGCTAGTAAATGGCCTCTTTTTTTCAAACGCATCGCTCAAATTGCTCAATTGTTGCTGATAGCGATCTGCCGTTACTGTTTCACCCGGCTGTAACAACTCGTAATACAATACACCTATCCAATCCCACCATATGCAAAGCAAAACCTTCTTGGCGTGGATATTGGTCTTTGGCGTCGATGTCGAAGGTTGACCAGGATCAACCCATGATTTTTTACGCTTCGGATTATCATAAAGTATCCACTTTTCATCACCTGTAATGATTTGGTGCAGAAAATCCTTTTTCCGGAACCTTGAAAGCAAAGTGAGAGCCGTGTCACGCCGTCGATTTTTGTCTTCGGACAGTGCATGCGGAACCCATCTGCCTTCCTTTTGAACTTTTCCCATTGCATGTAAACGTGAAATGGCTTGTCGCGTAACGCCAAGTTGTTCTGCAAGCTCCTTTTCAGTTTGTGCAGAGTTTATATCCAACAATGCTTGTTATATCCAACAATGCTTGCAGTTCGTCCGTTTCAATCTTTTGAGGGCGTCCAGCACGCGGTTCATCTTCAAGACTGAAATCTCCTTCGCGAAATTTTTGATACCACCTTTTACACGTAGCATAACTTACAGCGTTCTCTCCATATGCAACACAGATTATTTCAGTGGCTTCAGCAGCATTTTTCTTCAGATGAAACGCGAAGTAGTTGGAAAATCGAATATGCTCTTTTGTTATTGCCATCGTAAACACTGCTGATTTGAAGGTTATGTGCATCAAACGCCAAATCGCACGATGTTTCGAAAGACCAAATGTCACTGCTTTAAAACCGCAAGAGGGCGGGAAAATTAATGTAATTTAAATTGTGGTTTCAGTAGTATGAAATCTAGGGCTCAGAACTTTTTTGCGCTCCTAATAATATTATTATTTGTAATATATATTATTTGTAATATTATTATTTGTAATTTTATTTGTAATTGTATAATAATGTTACAAATAATACAAATCTTTACAAATTTTATTTGTAAAATTTTATATCATTTGTAATATTATTTGTAATATTAATAATATTCGGCGCCAAGAAAATGAAATATATTTTACTAATTATTTTGCGGAGTCGGGCAGGTTCACAGGTTCGATTATTGTATTATCTAATAATATTTTAAGAATAATTTTAAGTTATACAAGGATGTAGTATGAAATATAAAAGAATATTGTAACAGAATCAAGAAGTACGAAAATGAAACCTCTTTGCTTTTATTACAATATCCTGTAAGTTAATAAATATTTTTCATACAGTATTAAATAATCTCCAAAAACAATTACATGAACCGTGAATACCGTGAAATTTTCTATCTGCGCAAAAAAATTCATAAAATATATTTGTTTCATCACTCTAAATGAGAAAACTCTCAGAACAATGTCATAGTTGTTCAGTGCACTATTCAATAAAAATATAATAATATGTTTATATGTGTGAAGAATATTTGTTGACTTACAGGATATTGTAATAAAAGCAAGGAGGTTTTATTTCGGACTTCTAAGGCTAAGATTTATTAACGGCATATTAAAGACATATTCGAATTGATCTTGCCTTAATTGGTCGGATCAGTGATCAGTCTTGCCTTAACTTCCAAGCCTCATAACTCGGAAAGTACTCAATGAAATGTAACTTTGTTAGAGTGTTTTGGAAAGCTCTCCAGATAAGCTGCAAGAATATGTAATAAAAAATTGTAGTTTCTATTTAAAAAAACATTAATGACCTTTTCTTTTTTTCTTTTGTTAATGCAGAGGAAACCCATCATGAGTACCCTCCGTCCCCTGGGAGGGGCAGAGGGTTATGTGAGACTCTTACTCACATAATATACTAAAACCTCTGCGGGATGTCTACCAGTCGGACCGAGATGGGGGGAGCCAGGGGAACTGCGCCAACATTCCCTCCCCGACACCCCGGCCCCAGGGCTCGTTTGTCGAGCCCCACGCCCACGTGCCGCGCCCCCTTCTCCCTGAGGACAAGGTTCAGGGCGCGGCGCCCCGATCAGCTAAGCTGGCCGGGTTGGCCTTGCGGTTACAAAGTATGGGAGAGAGTGGACATGCCTACCCTGCCTCCCCGCCCCCTCCCGTTCGGAGTATCCTACTACGGGGTGGGGCGGAGGAGCGTGGCCTTCTCCCAGAGGGCCTCGCTCCCTCTTTTCCACCCTCTACCGACGCGCGAGGGAGTGCGGGCGGGGGTTCTCAGCCCCTCCCGAGTCTCTCCCCAGCGCGTCCGAAGTCGGCCCCGAGGCAGCCGAGGGGGCGGTCTCCGGAGAACCGGTCGCCGCTCCTCCTCGGCCGGCGCCACCTCGGGGCCGCTACCACCTCCCGGGGAGCGCCGCCTTCTACCTTTCCGCATCCAGTCGGGGTTAGGCCGGCGCTCCCACTCGGCGGCCCTTCTGGGACATAACGTCCTTGCAGAAGGAGGTCGCCGCCCCGCATGCCTCCTCGCTCCCGCACATGGCGCGAACCATGCGCGGGAGCGAGAGGTCTTCCA